AGCGAGCGTTGTATATATTGCTGTAGTATGTATTTAGCGGCGTCGCGGTAGAAGCCAATTGCATCAATGGAAGCGTCAATGGCGCACAGTGTCGCGACTGCGGCCAAAAATGGCAAAAAGGATGCCGCATCGAACAATGTGGTTTTAGTATAAGATATTTTATGAAAAACTTGTGTTAAAAATTAAATTTCATATCATTTGTTATAATTTGAATTATTCAAAAAATAATTTTTTAAGTTTATCAGTTAATTTTACAGTCGATCGTGATATTTGCTTAATTCATCCAACAGCTGTTGAGCGTTACTTTCTAAAAGTTACAAAAATTAAGGGAGTTGTGAGTAAAAGCCAAAAATTTGAAATACAGTACATATTCGAACATATAGCCAGGTACATAATAAATAATTACACTTTTATGTCGAATATGGTTTCATATCAAATTTCTTCAAAATAAAGTCAAATGTATTTTTCACTTGACGCACTCATTCGCTCGTGTTTTGTGTGTATTGTGGGCGTGAAGGTAAACCGATCTTTATCAAATGTCGCATTTCGGTTTTTTTTATAACGTTAAGCTACTTATAAAATTTCATCAAAATCGGAGCACATTTAGTATTTCTGTCCGCTTTAGTGGAGGGCGTGGCAGTTATTCAATTTTCACCATATTGAAAATTCTTTTTTCCCTTAATGAAAGAAGGCCTTACAACAAATTTCAGCAGAATCGCTGCACCATCATTACTTTTGGCCGCAGCCTATATGGAGTTGCGACACTGTGTGGCGGTGGCAGCGCCGGCACTTTTTGGCCGTTTGATCTTTTCATTGTTTGTATACAAGTTTATGGTTTGTGTTGATGGATGCGAGCACACAATTCGCTTTGATCATTTCCGCGCGCCGCACATAACAAGTAGATACACCAGCAACATTAACAAACGCATTTAATGCCACGTTGTTGATGATCATGCCTTTTTCGTTTAGCTCCTTGTTGGCTGCTGCCGCCCGTGAAACTCGAAATTTACGAGTTGCCATTCAGCGCCGTCTATCCACTATTTTTTCGAACAATATTTGATTGTTGTGCATGCACATGTACGGACGTATGTATGTACGTATGGAAGTAGTTGTGAGTGTAGGTGTTAATGTGCTTGTGGCAATTATGAAAAATCACAGACATCCTCCCACACAAAAATTATTATAAATACAGGCATCTTGCGCCTCATTTTGTCTGATTGATGTATTGTCCATTGCATTCTGATCGAAATATTGCTTACTTTGTAGATGCTCTATGAGGATTTTACGTTGCATATCCCTGCAAGAAATGCGACTAATCCGGAATGACTCCGGGAGCAATCGCTAAGGAACATGCGACTAATACTACTTTTGATCTTTTTATATGGAATGAACTGTTCGCTTTCTTTCGAGCATGTCCTATGAAGAGACTAATTGTTCCCTTTATACCCGAAATGGTACAAAAAGCGACTACAGTGCTATCTGGGTCGAGTGAACTAATTAATGCAAGACCAGTTCATAGAAAACAGATTGTTCACTATACCAGATTGAGTTTTTTGTTCTTATAATCAATTTTATTGCGCAGTGCGTTAAAGTTAAATTTTTAAGAACTCTGAAGTGTCGTCTTTTCCCACAGCTAATGTCAACACATGTTTCCTGTTGTTGTTGTATCGTTGTCGTTAAGCTCTATAGCGGTTGACCCGGGAAGCGTGAAGCCTCAATGGGGTCTGTCCATAAGGCCAGAGACCTTTACAGGGTGGGGTTCAGTGGGCATGCGAAGAGATGCTGCGAGTCATGGAGCGTCTCTCCGAGTGCCGGGAATTCATTTGGCACATCTGCATTTATTCTGTTCAGGTATGAATTCAACCTGCTGCAGTAGCCCGATCGAAGTTGGGCTATGTGGTCCGAGTTTCCCGAGGTAGACGAAGCGTCCACGTCAGGTGGTTGCGTGCCCAGAACAGCATTCACAGGTCGAGAGTCTATATAACTCGGGACTGGCTCTCTTTGAATTGCGTTCAAGGCCTGTCGGTAAGTTGTTGGGTTCAGAGGTAGTTTTATTAACCCCGGACTTCGTCCGTCAGTTCTTATAGATGCCTTCTGACGTGCCGTGGCGAGGGTTCTTCCGCGAGCAGAAGTCTGTTTGGGTGCTAACACGATGACACCCTACTAGGAATTGCTTGCAGAGCATTGTGCTATGCTCCTTAATCGGGAGCATATGTTCCTCGTCGCGCAGGTGATGTTACGGCAACATCAGAAGGAATCCTGTCGCTGTCTTAGTGCCGTGTTTTGGCTGGTCTGCAGCTTCATCCACTGCGTCCTACTAGTCCCCGGTAACCACATAGAGGCTGCATAGTTCAGAACCGCCCGGCCAATCGCCTTGTATTTACGTTGCCAACAACGTTTCTTTGTCTTTGCCCCAGACGCTGCCGGCTAGCGACTTGAGGACTTTGTTGGGGCTTTCTACTTCATTGACAATTGCGGTTGTATGTGCCGAGAAGGAGAGTAGACCTTCGAAGGTTACTCTGAGGACTTTCGGCTTATTCAACGTCGGAATTAGTTCGTCATCGATGAGAATACACAGTTGCAGTCTGACCTCCTTCGTCCAAGTGGTGAAAAGCGTTGCTGAGGATTTTGTAGGGGAGAGGGTTAGGCTCCGTGCAGCGACGAAGCGAGAAAGCTCGGCGAGATAACCATTATTGAGCAATCGCCAGCATAAGAGACAATCGAGACAAGCTTAGAAATTTAAAAGTTGAACAGTAGTGGGGAAAGGACACCACTCTGTTGAACTCCCTGTTTTATTTTCCTAGGTTTGCTCGCTTTGTCTCTAAAGATCACTGACGAGTTTCGACCAATCAGGTAATTCGTCGCCCACCGTTTGTCTTCTAGTAGCGTTACTTGAATAGTTCTCTCACAGGGGGGGAGGGGGGGGTCTCGGTTAAGGCCACGAGTTATGTGGGTGTTTATGGCGTCAAGTGATGTTGTTGTGCTGTGCACTTTACGGAACCCATGTTGATGCTTCGCTGGGGTTCAGTAATTTGTGTAGTGCGGGAGTAGAAGGGTCTGTAGTGTCTTCGCAGCCGGGGAAAGGAGAGCTATCGGGCGAGAAGACCCTCCTTTGTTGGACGGTTTCCCCGGTTTAAGCAGTGGAACCACTCTCCCCGTTTTCCAGGTGTCTGGTACGATGATAGTGGCCATAGACAGGTTAAGGACCTTGGTTAGATATTCCACTCCCGCACGACCCAAATTTTTGAGCATCAGCATGCAAATTCCGTCGGGTTCAATGCTTTTGGAGACTTTCACCTTCCCGATGGCTATTCTTTCCTCGTCGCTGCTGAAAAAAAAGAAGCGCACTTGGTGTTGGCAGTTTTTGCAGCCTTCTGGTCACTCTACGTTTGGCTTTGTCCGCCGGAGGATGCAGTATGAACTGTCGGCTAAAATAGCTCGCGCATCGCTCCGGGTCGGACGAAGCGTGGTCGCCAAAAGATATTTCAACTCTGTCGTCATGCTTCGCCGGATTGGACAATGACCTCACGGTTGACCAAAGCTTGCTCACACCAGAGGCGAAGTTACAGGTATTCAGATGGTCTTCCCACTTCATTAGTTGCCGAATCTCCGAGTTGCTTTGCTATTAAGTTTTTCGTTACAGTTTTGAATTTGGAAGGAATTGGTTTTAAATTTTGTTCACTTTACAAATACTCAAAATTGTTCACTCTATAGAGTACTCAATGGAAAAATTTTCATGTTCACTCATCTCGGAATACTCTCTTTAGAGATTAGTCGCACAATTTTTTTCGGGGATCGCATACGATCTTCAAAAGTGACAGAACTCAAAATTACACCTTCGTCAGACAATGTGAAAAACGATTTCGTAGTAGGTACATGCTAATCATATGAGCAAGGGAAACTTTACCTTAGGTTTTTTCAACAAATTATAACAAAAATTTGCTCCATCTTTTGCTGTAAGGTAAATAAAAGCTCTGCCAAATGGCAAATTTTCAGCTGTGCCTCTTTTGAAGGCCGTAGTGAATTTCTGGCATAATATGTACCCTGTTTACGCCTCAAAAATTGTTTCCAAATTGTTTATGCAAAATCGTGAAGGTGAATGGAAAAGTCATAAAGATAACAAAATGATTTGCAGGTGTCAAGTTTCATAGAGGAAGTAACTATCTTTTTGATAATACCTTGGAAAGTATATTCGAAAATTTTGCAAATAAATTTAATTATCCAGAACAATCAAGTTGAATAAAACTTTTAACTGGATCTACAGTTTAAACATCGTTATCGTCGTTATCGACTCGTTTATATATGTTAAGGAGTCGTTAGAGTCGATAACGATGTTTAACCTACAGTTAGTGTTAACCAGACATTCATACCCGCCCCTAAGCTTACACTTTTATTTAAGCTTTGATTAAGCGCATGGGTAAAGGCCATTTCAAGCTTCCACTTGATCTAATTGTTCGAGAGGAAGAGGAAGCCTCTAGCACACGTAGATACATAAGTACAAAAGAAGACGGCTACCTCGATAGCCGTCAGCACTTACAATTATACACACTCACTCACTTTCATTAACAAATACAAAGTTGTGATACCAACATGACAATAAGGAGTATGATTCCTCGAGATCGCCTATCTAGAGCTCAGCCTGCTTATTGTAAAGAAAGGTGGGTAGATACCGCTCTGCATACAATTGTGAGGTGGATGGAGGAAGCCTTCACTCACAACGACTTGGTCGTAGAAGCCTTTCTCGATATCGAGGGGCTTTTAATAATGTTCTGCCGGGCGCAATAGTCAAGTCGCTAGATAAGCTTGGGGTTGAGGTCAGTCTCATTAGGCCCATCGAGAACTAGCTCCATGACAGAACAGTCATGGCCCTCTGGGGCAGCGCCTGCTTGCCTTGGGTCATCGTGGTAAACTAGCTACAAGTGGAGCTGGAGAAACATGGCTGACGGGTAATTGCCTATGCAGACGATGTTGCACTCCTTGTTGTATGAGCCCAACGGTACATTAACATGACTACTAACTGGGCTGCAAAAAGTGGCCTCGCTGTCAACCCCAGTAAGACACAACTGGTCTTGTTCACAAGAAAATACAAAATCCCCGCCGCTTTTATTCCCTCAGTTGGAGGTCTGCGCTTACAGTTATCTGACAGGGTCATGTACTTAGACAGGAAGTTGTCGTGGAGGCCAAACATCGAGGAAAGGGCAAGGAAGGCATCATTCGCTTTATATTTCAGTAGGAGAGCTATTGGTAAGAGATGGGGTATTTCGCCTAAGGTGTCTATTGGCTCTACGAGACCGCAGTCAAGCCAATTATGTTTTATGGCGCCCTTGTCTGGTGGAACTCACTGGAAAAGGCTACACTATCTAGGCAGCTGGAGCGTGTACAACGGTCTGCATTAATTGGTATCAGCGGGGCACTGCGGAACGCCCCCACATTAGCGCTGGACGTAACGCTGAACGTAGTGCTTGTTGACGTTGCAGGCAGAATCGTCGCGTCGCGAACGCCTATTAGACTCAGGGAAACCGATTGGTTAACCAATTTGGCGATAGGACACTCTAGAGTTCTAGGTGGCTTAGATTTCATCCCTAATCGTACGGATTACTGCGCCACCCATATGGATCCTAGGAGCTTCTTCTCTGTCGATTTTTATTCAAGGGAGGAGTGGGCCGGCGAGACTTCTGGAGGAGGGGGGAGGCGAACTTCTTTACGGATGGATCGAAACTGGACGGCAGGGTTGGTAGTGCGTTCTTTTGTCGAGAGCTCACCATCAGCACTAAGTTTAAGCTCCCGGACTTATGCAGTGTATTCCATGCGAAAGTAGGAGGCGGTGGATTCATTTCTAAGGAGCGTTATCACAGTCAGGGAGGTGAGCGTATATCCTGATAGTCAAGCGGCTATCAGGGCCTTGAGTTCGTTGGAGGTGCCCTCTAACTTGGTGTTAAGGAATGTCTGCTCTCTCTTTCGGTCGCGTCGGAATACTTTTACATTAAGCTTATTGGGGTCCCAGATCAACGCGACATTGAGGGGAACTGTGTGGCTGACGAACTGGGCATGGAAGGTACTCCTGAAATGTTATCACCGGATAAAGAGCGGCTGTGGCTTGGATAGATGGGCCTCATGCCAGCTCAGCGAGCGATGGACAAAATCACGACAAGCGTGATCGCAAGATCCTTTTAGCCGAGGGTGAACCGGGGGCCGTCGAGGGCATTCCTTACACTCACAAAGGCACAGCTCCCATTTCTGGTGGGGGTGTTAACGGGTCACTGTCCTATCGGTATTCACGCAGTAAGGCTAGAAATTATACCGGACACCTTACGTCGCAGTTGCCTGAAGGAGGACGAGGTGGAATCACCTCAACACTACCTTCTTAAGTGCTTAGCGTTTGCGAGGCTAAGGTTGAAGTACTTTGGCTCTTCCTTTCTAAATAGTTCCGAGGAGCTCTGGGGAATTGAGATTAGCCTAATTCGTAAGTACATAATCGGCTCGGAGCGTTCTATCGAGAAAGTTTAGGAGGCCTTACAAAATTGTGGTATCACAAAGGACAATCTACATTGTCTAAGTGAGTTCCGGTTACACATTTACCTTTAACTTTAGAGTACCTTTAATTTCGTTTTGATGCAATGATCGGATCTAAACTAAACTAAGAAGAGACCACCTATGTGGTACCACCTTTCGTTTAAAAGAAAAATTATAGAAATCGGTTAACGTGGGCCAAATATATCCGGAAACATACATAAAAAGTCGGTTAAAAACGAAATTGTTCACCAGGAGGCAGCACAAAGCCTTGCTCGTAGATCTACAAAAGGGAAGAAATATGCCATTATAAATGCTTTGCAGGGTCAAAGTTCACAGGAAATTGTTTCCCGTTAAAATCTTGTTAATGGCGACTTTAACGTAAATATTATGGTAAAGATGTTTTTAGTTTAGAAAATTTGGTAAACAATTCTCTGCGGGTCCTTTCATGAGATTAACCATTTTCGAGGAAATTGCTCTTAAATATTTGTAACCTGCGGTATGTATTAGTGTTATGGGCATGCCATGGATGGAATCCATACTTGAGGGTAGAGTAATTAGCACAGCCATATGCAGAGGATTTGTGAGAAAAGGAAAAACCAGAGATCGAAAATAACCCTCTCCACTTATTTTTCATAGTGTTTCTCACTGACACAAACATAAATCTCTCAAGCAAAGAATGTTTCTTGCCGTGCCAAATCTCTCTGTATGATCTTTTTGTGTTTTCTGCTGTGGGTTATTTATCAACTGCTTAAATTTCCAGTCCGCACAGACACTTTGGCAGGGACTTTTATCTTTAAGTGCCTTTGTTTTTGGGTTATTGAAAATATAAGTGGACGTGAGTAAGTCGAAGAAAAGCGACACAGAAGAAAGCGTGCACATTCATAATATGATACGCTGAAAATAAGCTATTTTATTATATTAAGAATTTTTTCGTACATATGTATATGTATACCAGTATAAATGGAATTAAATATTGGTATAGGTGCTATTATATTTAAGTATGTTTTGAGTTAGTTTGAGCCAAAAATTTTATAAAATCTAATACTTATTTTTTCTCTCCCAGCGATAAGTTTCCGAGACCAACAGCAACGGAAATTATTTTCAAATAACACTTTCCCACTGAGCAAGAGCACACATCTACAGAAAATAAATCACCTGTTCTCTGTTGTGGATTATTTTTTTCTTAATTAAATAGTAAGAGTTATTTTGGGACACTTTCAAAGTGGGCAGGGCAATTTTCGATTTCTGGAAAAAACCGTAGGCCCTGCTCTCGCTTGGTTCTAGGTGGTAAATGAATTTTTCAAATCGCAAAAGGAATAAACATTGTCGCCAATACCGACTATGTGACAATAATTTCCTCCTGAAAGTTCTTTAGATAAGTGAGGCAATGAAAAGAGCACTAGGTGCCATCTCTAAGTTGATTTGGGGTTAGCACCTTGAAAATAGAGTTGGTCTTCTGCAGAAGAAAAACCAAAGTTCCTGCCCTTTTTCTGCTGACAGCTGAAGTGAAATATCTTGGAAAAGAGAATGAAGAAGGGTATATTGTCTTACGCCACCTGCAAAAGGGATTTTCGAAAACTAGGTTTGAAGCCATACTGATATGGTCCAATCAGCGGATCAGCGGGATCTCCCTTCTTGTGAATTCCGCCAAGTATACTGATATTCCAATCTTCGGGCATGTGGTAAAGCTGGTACAAGCGACCTACCAGCTCTTCGCTGTCGGTTTTGATGAGCTCAGCCGTAAAACACTCTGATCCAGAGCCTTTGTTGTTTGTAACCCGCATTATTGCTGTTCTCAGCTCGTCTTGGTCGCCCCATCTGTGTCGCCATTCAAATGTGTTGAGTGGTCTTATCTACATATACCAAGTATACTCTATATGTCTGTATCTTCATCTTTGCAGGAGCTCGAAATGGTTAAAACCATTTGCAAGCCTTATTATTTGATAGCATTTTAGGGGCGCCAGAATCTCAAGCTCTTCGTACTCATGCCACTCTGCCTCTCTTTTCTTCCTCTTAAAAATATGTCTCTCTTCCCTTCTTTTTCGCAGCACCGCTCGATTTTCGTGCGTGTCACTATTGGCTGCAGGGTTGCTTGGTATGCACAAGGGGTATTTGATCGATCTAGGCAGCCATACGTCTATTTTTTTAAACATGTCGTAGGAACAAACAAAATACTACTTGCCACAGTTGAATAGTTGCGGAACAACAGGCAATCCCTACCCCGAACTTATGATGCCGCTTTGACGGAGTATCTCAGTCGGAACTTGTCAGTTTGTGATAGTGCACGTTTTATTTTACGACATTCATTGTGAAACAGTTGCGTTCAAAAGTGATTATTATTATTGTGGTCATTATACAATTAAAAATTATTATATAGTCTGAAGACACAGGTAAATCTACGTTTATTTTAAATTGTTTCGATTTAGTAAAATTTAATCTAAGTAATAATATCAGTAATCCGAAATATTATATTTTTTAGTGATTATTGTTTCATTACTTTGTAAACCGTAAACTTTTAGTTATACTTCCACGCATTTCCAGGTTACATTACTAGTTGCGTTCTATAGAATGGAGCTTTGATAGTATACCGCACAAAAATTAGCGTCCAATAGCTACCGATGAGCTTTTTATGACCAATAATTAATATATCTCTAAAAAAAAATTTTAGTATTTCCTTTGCTTTAGAGCAGAGGTTCCCAAACTTTTTTTCTCGTAGACCCCTTTAAAAAATTTACTGGTTTCGGTGGACCCCCTGCTGATACATTTCTAAATATTCCCAAAGCTCGTAAAAAAAATTAAATGTGAAAATTAGATCTAACAATGTAAATTTGCATCGCGGGTGAATTCAAAACCTAAACACAGAATGGCCAAATTAAAAGTAAAATATTTTCTTGTGTTCTGTTTATAAAAGTAATGTGATTATACAATTGTAGGCTTTAAAATATAGACCTCGTAAATACATCAAAATACTCTCTCGCTCGAAAGAGTTATATTTTTTAAGAGCACTGCGAGCGCTAGCTTTATTTACATTATCTTCACCAGTGTTGCCAGAACTTTTTGGACGAACCGGCTAAATTGGCAAATAAAACCGGCTAAAAACGGCTAAAATGTTTCAACTAAATTTCACATGTTTTATTTAAATAAATCACGAGTAAAAAGACTATTTCTTGGAGAGAAGTTACAAATTCGAGCCGGAAAAAATTTTGCCAGCAAGAATTTGCAATTAGGAAAAACATATGATTGTGGCACATGGTTGGATTTTTTGTCGACGATAATTTGAATAAACAAGTTCGTTAAATTTAAAAATTTACAAACTGGAGCGATTTTAAAATGAAAAATGTAAGTTAATACTTGTTTACTTAATTAATTTAGTTAATTCCAATGATTTGAAAGGTACTCGGCAAAAAAAAACTGTATTCTTAATCGGAATGCAATCTCAACCAGAGTCGATATAGTAAACCCGACAAAGAAATTGAAACGTATGTTGAAGAAAGTCGGACTGACAAGATATATACACGTAGATCCTGTTTTTTGCCCCTCTGAAAGAATTTTAAAAATTCTATACAAATTTCTTTTGTTTGAAATGCAACCGTGGACACTAGTTGGCAGAAAAACTTGCAAATTTGCGTTCGTACAGAAAATTGCAAGTTTCTCTACATGAGAGAGAATTTGGGAGCATTTTTTCTTACTATCTGATATTTTGAGTGATAATTCTCGCTGGATTTTCGACGAACAAACCTATTGTCTTCCCTACAAGGCCTTTTCAGACTGACCGATTCTCAATACACTCAAATAGAAACCAATACACACAAAAAACGCTGTAAAAATTTCCCTTCAATTTTAAGGCAGTAAAACAACGACCTTAAGTTAACATCAACCGAGGCCATATGTTGACAAGGGATGCAAAATCACAGTTACACAAAAGAACTGGTCAGATTTTTCAGAAATCCCTTCTGATGTAAAATATGATGCCAAAAGACTGCATATCTCCCATTTAGATGACCGGCAGATGTCTCGTAGGATTCCCAGAGAGTTTTGCTTTACACATAAATTTGTGCTCTTTTATTTTCATTTTGATTCACTTCAGTGTTGGTTCCTTTAATTCAAGTTGGCATTCGGGTTTTGGAATTTAAATAAATTCTCAGCAAAAAATTTTGTTTAAAGAAATACATATGGGCAAATCTAAAAAATAGGTACACTCTCCAAACAAAAAAAATTAATTTTTAAATTCGTGAGCACGCCTATGTTTTATATATCATTTTATTCGTATTCTCTCAATAAATCGAGATTTAGACGAGGAATAAACATGAAATAGAAAACAAAAGAATAAGCTGGGTTCAAATTACGTCGTCCAAGTTGTAAACTTTGAGCAAAGATTTTGAAAGTTGAACTCACTTAATTGGGACGTTCTAAATTGAATGGCATCCCCCGTTTTACCAGATTGGCTCCGGTTTTCGAGATAACGGTATTTGAAAATTTTATTAAAGTTTAGCTATTATATAAATAACTCCCTCAGTTTTGAAGTTATTTTAATAAAATTTTGCACATGACGGTTTTTAATATTACCTTAATTATTTTTTAAAATTATCGAAATCGGTGCACTTTAACGTATAGCTCCAATACAACTGATTACTCAGATATGTGTTTTTGCGCTATAACTCTAACTTCATACCTGAATAATAAAATGTATGCGTGCTATATGTTAAAGTGAACCTATAACAAATTTTTACCTGCTTAATTGGAGGAGTTATAAAGCAAAACAACGTCTCTGGACAATCAGTTGGGAGCTAGATTTTAGAGTGAACCGATTTCGATGATATAGTGAAGGAAATATTAAAATACAGGCGTGTGCAAAATTTTAGTAACATCTCTTCAAAACTGAGGGAGTTTTTTTATAAAATAGTTCATATTTAAGCAAAGTTTCAAGTACCGCTATCTCCAAAAGTGGAGACAATCGGGAAAAACTGGGGACGCCATTGAATTTAAAAGGCTCCAATTAAGTAGGACCAACTATCAGAACCTTTGTCGAAAAAAATTGATTTGATACCACGCTCGAAATATTCTGACTACAAGAAGGAGCATAATTAAAAGTACTCAATCAAGGTTTTTACACACTTCTAGAGAACATTTTTTTGAAGCATTTTACAGGTATATGCAACTATATAAGGACTAGTAGTTATACAAATATCTAGATCGTTTCGACTCATTTTCCAAATGTGCCTTCAATTAAGATATTTTTGGAATCAAAATTACGCTCAAGATTGCAGAATATTTTATCTTTAAAAGTTGGTTTATTCTGAAAGCACAGCTCTTGCTCAGGTATCAGATCGTTCGCAATTGTTTGTAGAATACAATACATACTTAAAAAGTTCTTAAAATTAAATGCTTCAAAAACTATGCGCGATAAACCGAAAATTTAGAAAATTGTGAAATGTGGAGTTACAGACTTTGAGTTACTTGCCATTTCGTAATTTTTTAATGCACACTTTTCTTATCTACTACATATAAAATCTACACATAAGTGCTAAATGCCCATTAAATTTCAAATCAGAATATGGTGTGCTTCAAAAGTTATGACATAATTAATTTTGCCCCTCTTAAAAATTACATAAAAAATTCACTTGTTTTCACTATTTTTTTAAATTTAAACACCTATAATTCAAAAGTTATGCAGCAAATTGATCCACATTTTTGTTGAGGCTTCAAGTATACGTCAAGGAATTATATCCAAAAGCAACCAGCTTGATATAGTTTCCAACAGTCAAAATAAAGCTAAATAACACCAAGGTTACCTGTTTTTTAGATTTTCCCATATGTGTACATAGTGCTTGAAAATATCAATTTTTCCCTTACCTTAAACCTTTGGGAGTGGGCAAAAATTATGTTTTGTAATTTAGGCAGAATTGACTATCTGGGAACACCATATCTACATGTAATATTTATTCTGTTTGTTGGCGCTATATCCAAACACAAACGCATCTTAAGTGTCTTAACAGTGAAACAATTTCTTATTTTCTAAGTTTGCGAATAAAACTTCACACTTAAAATTAAGACATTTATAACAAACATTTTATGAAGAAAATCCCTTCTTCGTTTAAAATAAAAATAAGCGAAATCGGCCCAATTTCATACAACCCTGACTGACATGAAAATTTTCTCCACGATAAGACTAGTGGCCATCTCTAACAGATTTTGGGTCGCTTAGTCAAAAATGGAAACATATATACATACTTGAAATTTAAGAAAACAAGGCAAATAGCAAAATCGGCTAAAAACGGCTAATCTTTTTCTGCAAAACGGCTAACAAATCGGCTGCCGGCTAAATCGAAATTTCTCCGGCTGTTTGCTATCGCAACCGGCTAAATCTAGCCGGAAAACGGCTAAAATGGCAACACTGATCTTCACCATAAACTCATCAAGTGTTCGGCTCACTCTTGACTTTGGACGTGGAGTATATGTAAAATAGTTTATTAGTGTTAATGGCATCATTTTTGCTTTTAGCGCTCCGAGTTTTAAAGTGAGGTGAAAAATATTTATCACATTTTTGAAACACAAAACTTAAAACATCAAAACGGCTAAGCTTTTTACGCCAAACTTTTAATTCAGAAACTGACAATAGAGAAAAGAACGAGTTTAAAAAAATCTATGACAAATAACCACGCAAACAAGAAACACAAAAAGTGTTCCACCGTCTCATCTTCTTCAAGGCAAGATGGGCAAATGTACTTGTCATTTACGACTATCACAGTCAGGTGTTTGTGCCACTTGAAGTAACCAGTCAACAGTCCAGCAAGTTGTCTGCAGTGTCGTCTGCTCAGTGAGAGCAAAAAATTAGATAGACCTTGTGAGATTGCAGGCAACATAAGTTTTGCCCACCTGCATCCCCTCGATGCCTCTCAGTCATTTCTGAGTTTCTGATGGTGGCTTCGATTGCCCAAGGTGAGAGTGCTAAAACTGGTTGCGGACCGAGGAATGCTTGGTCTGAGCCAAATCTGGCGAAATTATCAGATGTCTCATAACTAGGTACTCCAGAGTGACCAGGTTCCCAGAGTAAAACAACCTCGTTATGTTCACCATCATATTTTAGTCGGAACTTGCATTGCCGAACAACATAGTTTGGAAATACTTAAATAGAGGGCTGGTCAATGCCTTAAGTGCAGCTTAGTTGTCACTGCAGTCACGTAAACTCCTTTCCCTCCACCTATGTTCCACCACGTAATCCATGGCTAGGGTTGCCAACATATTCTAAGATATTTATAGTACTTTTTCAAAAAAAATTTTAAAAATATAGTACAATTTAAATAAATATAGCATTTTATTTAAAAGAAAAAGTAAAAACGATTTTTAACTGATGGGAAATAAAATTATTTTAAGGAAATTTGTTAATTCTTTCTCAGTTATGTTACCTTTTTTGGTTATAACCTCTTTTGATTATAAACTCACAATGACCTTTTACTTTAAAGAATATTTTTTAATATTGTTATTTCAGAATAAGGGTCAACCATTTTAATACACATTTTTTCGTGCAAATTACTGAAATATATTTATATTTATCATTGAAGAAATATAGTATTTTTGCGTACTATATTTTTTTCCAACATTATACAGTACGCCGATCGGAAAAATACTACAATTTTATATATTATAGTACGGTTGGCAACCCTATCCATGGTTTTGAGTTTTGCAATNGGGAACCAAAAAAAAAAAAAAATGTACGTGTATCGGCATTTTGGCTGGTCCCCATTAACTTCGATGAAGAGACCCCAAATCCTGACACAGAGTCAGTTTTGGAGACATCAGTGAAGATTCGACAACGTGTGAGTCCGCGCTCAGTGCAGATATTAAACAAGCATTCAGTCTCGGAGAACTCAACATTAACGTTAAAGGTAATGGTGGCGTATTTCCAGTGACTTTGAAAAGACGCAAGTACTCAGCTCTCTGCCTGCAGAAATTTTCGACTCGCCCCACTCATTANCAGTGCATCAAGAGCACTTTACATTAAAGTTAAATAAATAGGCTATCAAGCAACCATTTTGGTTATTTACATCGAAGCCAGATAAGTCTTCGTGGACCCCCATTTACAACTCATGGACCCCCATATTTTTTTCACGTCACCGTGGACCCCCTCCGAGTTTTCCGCGGACCACTGGGGGTACACCTGGGCCACTTTGGCAATCACTACTTTAGAGTCACCAACTGGTTCCTGCTATAGAGAAGTAACTCGAAAATATTTATATGATTAGATGCATCGACGAAATTCTGGGACTTTTGAGAATAAAATAGAGTTTCTTCAAAATGATATATTATCATCTGACACCTTCTCCGATGAACAAATAAGAGATATAAAGCACAAATTTTCACAACTAAAAGCACAGTTTATACAAAGGTGGATAAAAGCCCGTGGAAAAGAAGAAGTTTTTTTGAAAAGTAACGTAACATGGCTACAAGGAACATTTTCAATTCCCAAAGGTATGCAACAGCTGCGATCTGGTCGTGTTGAACAGGTTACTCCTAAGCTCTGATCCACTCATTAGTAGTTTCAGGCCAAAGCCAAAAAAAAGCAACCAAACCCTTTTCAAAGGTAGAAATCGATATGTTGCTTCCAGCTGAACCAACTAAAGATGACACGAAGTCTGGAGAGTGTTCAGAAGAGGAAGAATGGTCCGATGAAGAATCTCGGCACTCATCATCATCATAAAGTAGTTTTTAACCGACTTCCAAAAAAGGAGGAGGTTATCAGTTCGTTGGGATATTGTATTTTTATTTTTTTTTTATGTATGTTACCGCATAACTTTGGACCACGTCAACCGATTTCCAATTTTGCATCGGAAAGGTAGTGTCTCAGAGGTGGTCCCACACTAATCTGGTTAAGATCCGATCAGTGGATCATGAGATATATATATATATATATCTATTTTTTTTTATATGAGAATTGAAGTCGATTTTTTTTGCCAAAAATTACTTGTTTAGTTTAGAATTTAATTACACATTTATTATCCATTGCATTACAAGATAAAATTGGTTATTTCCATAATTTTCTTTGTAACTTATAGCTCAAGGAAGTCCATACGCATTTTAACAATAAAAACAGATTTTTGAGCAACATTATAAGAAAAATTTTCTGTTATTCCCTTAATTAAAGTTCAATATCATTTTTAAACAGGTGGTCACCCTGTCACAGGTTATCTAGAAATTAAGCCTTTCAAAACCATTTCAATTGATACCCATATTGTAGTTATTCAGTTAACTTAACTATATCGAGCCCTAACCGCCAAAATAAGGTAAGCGACATTTTTTTCAAAATTTTCTTTATGATGCAGAAATATTCCTAGAGCATCTTGATACATTTCTGCATCAAAAAGAAAATTTTGAAAAAATGTCGCTTACGTTATTTTGGCGGTTAGGGCTCGATATTTAAGTTTTTACCAGGTGGCAACTCTTTGCATGTGCTAACCTATATATATATATCGCCGAGACGAACACGTATGTAGGTATGCGTGTTTCTACAATCGGACCACGGCAACATAGAGTCTATCGGTGACAAACTTTAACCAACTTTATTTTCGTTGCTTTGGAGGAATAATTGTACGTCCTCCACCTATATTTACTTGATTTTAAACATTTACAATTCTAAACATCGTAACACGTCTTTTCTACACATTTTGAAATAAAATTTTCATACAAATAATTTTGGCCGCCTAAATCGGCTAAATACCCCTATGTGGTATGGTGCGAATTACTTTGCAGCAACTTTGTGACACTCTTCGTCATACCAGCTATTTCTGCTTCGTTGTTAATAACGAACAACCTCTTCCGCAGCGATACTAAGTGGTTAGGATATGAATTCCCAATGCTCAAATATGTCCGGGCAAGGAGGAGTTGCTCCGTTAAACAGGATTGAGAACTGGTTGCGAAATTTCTCGGCCGTACGTTGTGACTGCAACTTTGCGACGTTGAACTTTTGTCGCATTGCCTAACTGTCGTTTTTTATTGAAGAAACTCATCCGGACCTTAGCTGCAAAGAGGTAGTAATCCGATTCGATGTTGACTCGTCAGATGGGGCGCAAGTCAAGAAATTCATCAGCCTCTCTCCGTTGTCAGATGTGTTCGCATGATGTCAGTCGCGTATTTCTCTGTGGCATCCCCCAGTTGGATAACTAGATGTACGTTCCTCTAGATCCTTGTTTTGTTTGTCGGGGAGACATTAATTTGGCAATATCGTTGGGACGATGGACTGCTGGAGTATGTATATTATCATTTTCCGAACGCAGGTTCTTTTTTGATAATTATGCTTTGCATGTCTACGTATTTTATTGGAATTTGAGAAAGTTGTGCCACAAGATCAAAGCCATTCGCTAAAACTCTATCAAAACGCACCGAACTGTAATCAATAACTCTCACCTGTTGTACTCATACTGACACGTAAATATGTAAGCACTATATTTTTTACCCTACAAAAATTGCGACTACTCCATGCATGCATATAAAGAGTACTCCCTAAAGGTCAAGGAGTACTCCAAATTTAACCAAAATGCATATAAAAAATGTGATCCAATTAACATTGTGATGTCCTAGGGCAGGACCATATACTCCAGCTCTGCGTTACATCAGAGTGGCACAAAACTCCTCCAACATGTTAAAAATGTCATTGTTGAAATTGTACATGTTTGTATTCTGCACTTCACAGATGCTCTTTCATTGTTCGGATGCACAAAACAAAAATTTTTATACCCGAGCGCACTTGTGCACAAGGGTATTATAACTTTGTTCANGTCTGTCCGTCCGTCCGTCCGTCCGTCTGTGCACACGATAACTCGAGTAAAAATTGAGCTATCTTAACTAAACTTGGTACGTGTACTTCTTTCGGGCGTAGGACGGATGGTATTGAAAATGGGAAAAATCGGACAATAACCACGCCTACCTCCCATATAACGGTAATTTTCAGAAATACGAAAACTGCGATAAATTAGTAACTACTGAAGATTATTCACTCAAAATTGATTTTACAATAATTTTTAGACGAAAAATAAGAATTGTATAAATTTTTGGCAAATGGGCGTAGCCACGCCCACTTATGGTTACATGTGTATATCTTGGCAACCGCTAAACCGATTTCTTCCAAACTTGGCGCAGTTATTGGCCTTGGTACAGGATACCAAACGGCCGAAAATTTTCAAAATCGGACAATAACCACGCCCACATCCCATATAACCTGAAAGACGCTTATGATCAAATTTTGGAAAATGGGCGTGGCACCGCCCACTTATGATCACATATATGTATATCGGTAACCGTTCTACCAATTTGTACCAAACTCGGTGTGGTTATTGTGCTTGCCACATAAAAGCAAAACGTTGAAAATTATGGAAATCGGACTAGAATTACGGCCGCTTTTTATATAACGGTAAATTTCAGAAATGCTTGAAACTGCAATATTTCGAAATTTAAGGACGCTAATTTACTCAAAATTGATACACCCCGGCTAACCATGTAGCGGTAGGTTTCGGAAAGGTGAAAAAACATTTATTTAATATTTGCGCCGGGTATTTAATGTTCGGCTCCGCCCGAACCTAGACTTTCTTACTTGCTTTTATTATTTTTATTATTTTATTATGGCACGCACCGGCAAGATTCGAACCAGGACCTTCTGGAAGTTAGCAAATAACAGCGAGAATTTCTGCACACTAAGCTACAGCGCTCTGTAGCTTTATTGTCAAATGTTCAACTTAAATAAATTCTGTTCGTCGTTTGATTTTGTTCTTCACTTCACAGATGCTTTTTCGTATTAACAAAAACCAAAAACAAAAAATAAAAATAAAACATTACATGTTGTCTCTACACGTTTAGCTGCAGCCAGACATACAAATGTGTTTTAAAATGTTCAACTTGAATCACATTTCTTTAAGACACGAGTTGGTCCGCTACAGCATGACAGAGGAGCACTTTGTAAGTACTCCTATATGCCTGCCACAAATAGACTATATGGTCCCACGATTTTTGCGGGGTATATGTAAGCACATACATGCATATATGGGTGAATAGGTACATGTATATGCTTGTATTATACGCTGATGTGGGCGGGATTTCCTGCTCTACAAAGGCTCTAATAAGTTTGTAGATATGTATGCCTCTTCATCATATGCTCTCATCGCATTGCTGTAATTTCTGAGAAAAATTTATTGAACCAAACATTTTCCTTGACTAATACAATTCTGTTAGCGCTCTAGGCTTTACAGGCTTTGCGATTAGTTTTTTATTTGAAAACTTCCGATTTGTTTAAATTTCTGTTGGTTTGTTTTGCGTTTAATTGGGAAAGGCCTCTGATGGAATTATATTTCTAATTTATTGTGTACATATGTAGGTAGGTATGTATGTATGTATACTTTTTGACTTGTGGGGGACTACCCGCCCACATTTCAAACTACAGACGGAATATCGTCTATGCCCCAATATGCTGCTATTCTTTGTTCGACCATAACTCTAAACAACGGTTGTTTTTGGAAGCTACCAGCGTTTGATGTAAAAAATTCTTGGAAGTGTCTATTTTGATTATACATTTTTTTATATTTATGTTGCATCAATTATTCCATAATTTCGTTTATATTTTATGAGGTGTAAAATTCGATAGGCGAACAAAGTGTTTATTGCTTCGATATACGATATTAATTTTTTCTAGTGATTTCGCTTGTTTTTACAACGTTTAACGCGCATACATACACACCAGGGATGCCGATCCCGGTGTTTTTGAGGTCCCGAATTTGCTTGATTTAATTCCGGGATCACGAAAATTTTAAAATATATCGAGTTGATAGTAAGAACTTGTAAATGAATTTGAAGTATGATTTTTGCAAAATGCCGTTTTGACTACAATTAACGAAAAGCTTGAAACTGTACTTTTAAAATTGCAGCCATAGCGTCGCTAATGTTAACGAAAGAGAAAGTTTTAAGGATAAGTTACATAATTTTTTAAATCAATCTATGTAATTTATATGACGCACATGGGAGTATTTATGCAGAAAACCCGATCAAAAGTAAGATTTACCAATTGTTGCAAAAGTCCAGCAAAAGATGCTATTCCTAAAGCTAAATAACTGATATATTGAATGGTACCCATGAAAACTTCCTCCGCTGCTTTTCCTTTGCCATATGTCAACCTGAAAATAGTCAGTGATGTGATAGTCTTTTTTCTACACGCTTTCAGTCGTTCTACTTGTTTCTTAGTTAATTGTGTTTTAGTGAAGACTTATTTCAAGAAAAAACCTTTTGAACATGTAAGAGGAAGGCCATTTTTAACATTTAAGACTAAATTTAAGTAAATTTTTTTTAATATGGCCTTTTTATATTTTTGTTGAATAATATTTTTAAATGTTGGTATTTTTTTTACTTGTCAAGCTTTGTCAAAGTTTGGTTCCTTGAAATATATGTAACTACATTTAACTTTCAGCAATTAAACCAAAAAAAAATTCCTCCCATTTGCTCCATTTTGATCTTCGAAGAACGAAACACGATGAGTCGTAATATTGTAATTTCGGATTTTATTTACAGAAATATTCAATGAACAGTTATAAGGAGAGTTGCATTGTGAACAGGTATAAGCCTGACCTTTAATTTGGTAAAAATTATGTAACGATTGAATACTATTTGTCAAAGATCTATGAATGGCCTTGAACCATCGCTAGATTTTTTCCTGCTTTTTTCTTCATCTGCAAAAATAACTTAAAAATATAATCAAACGAATGCCGAAAAGGGTATTCGAGAGTCAACAGCTTTCATCGAAACTGGGTACCCAAATTTATTGAGCTGCATACCTTTTAATTTTATACTCCTCGAGAGATCCTTTGAAGGACTATGAAACTGGACAATAATGATCTCTAATCGGCTTCGGCGAGAACGATTGAGCCCTTAGATCTACTTACCGCATTCATTTTTTATACCCGGACGCACTTGTGCACAAGGGTATATACCTTTGTTCACATAAGGGTTGTTTGTAACAGGCAAAACGAATCGAGATAGATATATACAAATGTATACATAAATGATCAGAATGAAAAGAGAAATCGATTAAGCGGTGACTGTCCGTCCGTCTGTGCACACGATAACTTGATTAAAAATTGAGATATCTTAACGAAACTTCGTACATGTACTTCTTTCGAGCGTCGGACGGATGATATTGAAAATGGACAAAATCGGACAATAACCACGCCCACATCCCATATAACGGTACTTTAGATAAATACGAAATCTTCGCTAAATCAGTAAATACTGAAGCTAATTTATTCAAAATTGATGCTTGCAACAATTCTTTAACAAGAAATACGTTTATGATAGATTTTGGAAAATGGGCGTGGCTACGCCCACTTATGATGACATATATGTATCTCTTGTACTAAACTCGTTACTGTTATTTTGTTTGCCACATTAAAGAAAAATGTTGAAAATTATTGAAATCGGACTAAACTTACGGCCACTTTTCACATAACGGTAAATTTCAGAAATGCTTGAATCGTCTATATTTCGAAATTTAAGGACACAAATTTACTCAAAATTGATACTAACAACAAACCCTTGAAAATAAGTAACGTTATTTGGAATTTTGGAAAATGGGCGTGATACCGCCCACATATGACCATATATGTATGTAAGTTTATCTCATTATTTCTAACTGAACGTTCTATCGAAAATGTTTAAAATATGGGTAAAACCGTCCCTGCTTACCATGTAGCGGTATTTTTCGGAAAGGTGAAAAACATATATGTAAAACTTGCGCCGGTTATTTAATGTTCGGCTCCGCCCGAACTTAGACTTTCCTACTTGTTATTTTTAAGTTATTTATTTAATTGAAATCGAAAAAATATCAAAACTTTAGTAACGAAAATTTTTGCACAATTCGCAGTTATTCGAAATAAAGAGCTGGTCCAAAAGTATGAAGTGCATATCCGAACTCGTCGACCTAAATATGTTCTAGCAGAATAATTTCGTTCCTGTTTTTTTCTGAAAAAAATATATAAAAAAAGTCCCATATAATTAATATAAGAAGACGTTAATCATTTCCGTCTTAAAATAAACGTCCCGCGAGACGAAAAAAAATAAAATTCCACGATAGTTATTAAAATAATCGTCCCGCGAGACGAGAAAAGTAAAAATCACTTAAGATTATTAGGCGAAGATGAAACATTTTTAGTTTAACGATTTTCGTCTCAGGAGACGAAAATAACTTTTCTATTTTTCAATAATAATTATCCAAATTATTTAATTTCAATTCTTATAATCGTTATGGTCTCTGATTTCATGCAATTTTTTACCAAGGTGCGTTCATGTAGGAATGCGGATAAACTGATAAATTTAAGGACCCCTACTATGTGGAGCATTAAATACTACCCATGACGTTGTGTTTTTTCCACATGGCATTTTTAAAATGGCATAAATTTTTTGTCATTTCGTTTCTAGGCAGAAATTCGGTTTAGGAATTTATAAAGTGTCTGTTCAATGATCATGTGTATGTCTCAGTATAGAAGAACCTTATCTCACATTATTTTTTCAAATAACTCTAGACATTGAAACCCTTATGAACAATGTAAATATACATATATGAGTAGTCCACTTGCAAACAGCGTAATGTGATTTTGTGATAGAACGCCTTAAATTTGAAAAAAAAACGACTACGACAACAAGTAACATTTAAATTGAATCTTTTTTATTATTACCTGTAAATTTGGATAAATAACAGCCTTATAAAATTGTAACATAACATAACATGACATAAAATAACATTAACAGTCTATACGACCTAAAGCAGTTTTCTAAGTTCATCAGAAGATGTATAGTTTTGAGAGTTTATAAATAAGTGTGGTAGCGACTTTTGGAAGAAGAGTTTGATTCTATTTAATTCAGAATATAAAAATATTTTGCACTGTGTTGTTAGTGGACATGAAACTACTATAAATACTGGTACGTAATCCTCCCAAAACTAAAAATAGAAAAAATTTTACATAGCGCATTTTGCAAGTGGACTACTCATATGTATGTTTCAAGACCCTACCCCCTAATTTTATTCGCTTTTATGAGAAATATTATTGCCTTATTTTATAGATTTTATAAAGGTCTTTGTCAATTTAGGTCAGAAAATACGATTTTGTAGGTTTATGTGTTTTTGAATGACTATTTTTGATTCGAATTCAAAGATTGAATATGATCTATGAAGAGGAAGAGGCCTTTGAAATGGTATATAATAATCTATTGTCGGACTTGGCTTGTTTGGATTTTTTATCGGGTAAAATAAAAAAAAACATATATCTCTTAATTTTTTAAATTTTGACCATCGATAATTTCCACAATTTCAAAATATGTAGTAATATCTAAAATTAAATCTATTTTTATATAAACTGATAGCTAATTAAGCCAGCAATATTTTGTTCAATTTTGGCTATTTTTCTTTTGTTTAATTAATGTTTATTATTTTTCCATAAAAGTCTAGCTCCTTGTATAACAAACGCCACATAAATCCAGATTTCAAACTTTGTGCAAAAATTATGAAAAATCAGATTTTTTAGAATCTTTTTGAGTAAGCAGTTTAATAGCCCATTAAATTGTTGGGTAATAGTATGCAAGTCTTAAGCTGCTAAAAAAATGGCGTTGATTTGTAATATTTTTTTTCTGACTTCATGACGCATTTTTATAATTTGACAATTTTCTTTGTATGAAAAAAAAATTGTAATGCAGTCAGAAAAAAATTATTAAAAATCAAAGCGATTTTTTTAGCAGCTTAAGACTTGCGCATTATTACCCTAGAATTTAATGGGTTATTAAACTGCATACACAAAATACTCTAAAAAATCTGAATAAAAAGTTGAAAACTTTGCAGATTTTTCATAATTCTTGCACAAAGTTTGAAATTTGGATTTATATGGCGTTTGTTATATAATGAGCTAGACTTAATGTAAGAATAATAAACATTAAATAAACGAAAGCAAAATATTGCTTGCTTAATTAGCTGATCGCAAGTGTAAATCGACAGGTCGCGACCTCTAAATGACGTTTAAAAAATCTATAAAAATAGGCAATAATATTTCTCATAAAAACGAATTTATGTAGGGGGTAGGGTCTGGAAATTCCAAAAAAAAAATCGATGGGCACCGTTATGTATATACAATTAAAGTTTGGTCAGATCTTGTTTCTTTATAAAAATTAAGTAAAATCTTGGGAAATAGATTTATCTTTCGACGATTCCTTCCTGCATCGATCATTTATATTTGGATTCGAATCGATTCAAAAATCAATGTTTTTCTTATGATCTGGCATCTATAGTATTATGTTGACCTGGCAGTCACAGGCACGTCCATTTCCACCATTGACGCATTATTCAAAATACCTCTGTAATAACTATGTACATTCTTGGGCCACGAGAAGCGGTCAATTGAAATTAGATGGCTGCGTACTCTACTGGACATGACAATTAACTAGCAAATAAAAGTCGAAAATCTCGTGCACTTTTAAAATAAGTTTCAGCAGTGACGAGACTAAAACTACCGCTATCGCAAGACCACCTTGACCTTTTTTCGTGACCTTTCCTAAAACAAATATACATATTCAATTAATTTTGCTTTGCTGCACATTTAAGACACACACATACCACAAAATGCCCATCAGAGGCATTATTTTTAACATTTATATGGACACTGCTCCGATAGATGCATTCAAAATACTTGCACATTTCCCTACAATTACCTAATTTTACAAGCTTTTATTTATTTTGTTCATCTCGCAAAACAACGAAAATGGCTATCAATTTATCTAGTAACATAGATAATTAGACACCATTCGTTAAAAATTTCGCTTGCAGTAATTTTTACGTGGTAAGTGCTCCTCCATTATTTGGTTTCATAGGGATTCGGATACCTTCCTCATGGAAGTAGTAAAGAAAATTCGCTTAAGTGCCTTTTTCGGTTAAGTGCACAAGTTTTTCGTGCAAAGAAGGGTATGCAGCTAAGCAGAATATACTGTATATGGTTTATATTAACGTAATGCACTAAATTATAACTAATGTTAGTTTCAGAAACAGTTCAAATTAG